TCACTTTCACGTGTGTAATTGCTCGTTATCGCGAGCGCGATTATTATGTATATACGATAACTCGAAATTGAAATGGACCGCGCGCACGCAGATACTGCCTTGGCGTCGCGGCGATGACTTTCTGGGCCGTGACGGGGCAGATACAGGTCCATGATTGCCATTATCCCTGGGTGATGCTGCACGCGCAGGGCTACTCGGACGCCGCCCTAACCGCCGACAATCTCTGGCTGAGAAACTTCATGCGAATCGATAGAGCTTACGACGTCGGTGACATGATTTTTTCCCGCGCTCGTCGTGGCCACGATACACATCTCGAAATAACGATCGTACGCGATAATTCTTTCGATAGAGGATCCTCCGAGCGCTGATCTGCTGCGAGCTGGCGGTCGGGGGCTGCACGTGTCTACTGTACAAGGGCGCGCTGCTGGTCCTGTCGTTGGACAGAGCTCAGAGCATGCCCGGTCAGCTGTTCGCCTGCTTCGTAATACTCGTGACGGTGTGCTGGATGTTCGTTCCGCTGAAAGCGGCGATCGACAGCGTCCTGATCTGCGCGCTCATGGATTTCGAGGTGAACGCAGGCAGCTCCAGGCCGCACTACATGCCTGACAAGCTGAAGAAGATCATTTTCGAGACGCGTCCGACGACGCCGTAGAATTTTTCAATGAAATAAGAGTATCGTTGACCAATCGAAGTTTATTCATTTGCAATAAGGTGAAACTATATGGATGAAAAATTCAGCAGAGTAAGAGAGAGAGAAAAAGAGAGAGAGAGCGAAATAAAAAAATTGACATCCAATTGGTAAAAACATTTTTTAATTAATCGTGAATATTTTTTACTCTCGATTTTTTTCATTCATTTCTCTTTCTTCTTCGCGCCGAAACTGTATCTCCGTGTATGCAACGATACGACGCGAAACTTTGAACGCGCGCGAGCTTTTTATATATAAAACGAGGAAACGACCCCAAGATATGCGCTTAAACGAAGATTTAAAAGTATGCATATTCAAAGGTTCGAGCGTGTGCGCGCGGGGATGTACGAAGAAGAAAAGAGGCGAGTCTGAGAGGGGGAGAGAGAGAGATGCTCTACATGCGCGCGACATAGTGCCTCGTAGGAGGGTTAAGAGGTCAGTATTACGACCGACAGAAAGAGAAAGAGAGACGACCGCGCGCGAGCCATTACTTCTTGCGGGTTCTTCTTTTTTTTTTGGTGCGCCCGCTTATATACTGCACACACCCACGCATACACCTCCGGGGCATCTTACCAAATCTCAAGTCTCTCATCTAGTTGTACCTGTTATGTGTGTGTGTGTGTGTGAGTTTACACACTACCACGAAAAAAGACGAAAAAAATTTGAAAAGCCTCTCACGGGACCGGATAGTTCCTGGTAACGGACAACGACCCGTTAGTCATTATCAACTTCCGGATATATCTTGCTTTTATGATCTTTCGTAAAGATGTGCCCGGCTTATAAATGTGAGCTGGTCGAAAGCAAAAAAGTACGATTAAAAGTTGTACTTGCCTCATTTGAAATAAATCTCAATATATGAGCGATGTGTGATTTCATAATAATCACGTGAAATTTTGTAGATACAAATATTTTATTTAATAAAAAAAAATTTTAATTGCCTCAATATAATCGTCTTGTAATTATGTACAATTATTAAATTAAATTTCTACGCTTGTTATTATAAATAATTAATTACAAGTTGTCTTGATTATTCCCGGAGTTGTGTTGATCACTTCCCTTTTATTCTTTGTAAAATGAGGACTTACATTTCATTTGCCTAGCGGCCAGTGAACAAAACCAAGGAACGATTAAGCTATTTTTGCTACCGGTATGTACGTTACCAGGATAAATGCATCGAAAAGAAAAATTATTTTATATTACATTTTACTAGATACATAATTTTTTTCATACCAGCGGCCCGAAAGTGACTACTTCCCGGCCGCTGCGCAAAACGGGAAGAGCTATTTTCGGGCCACGGGGTATGAAAAATAGTATACAGGCCTAAGCCGCGAAAAAAGAAAGCCCCAGAGCACGTGTTTATCGGCCTCGGCTTCGCCTCGGCCACTAATTACACGTGCCCTGGGACTTTTCTGTTTTTCGCGGCCTAGGGCAGTAATATACTATTGCTTTTTCTTTACAAAAACATTCGATCATCGATTCCCATATTCACTATTACAAATTTGCATTATTTACCGTTGTGAGCTACATAACAATAAAGCCCGAATTGTTCTCGCTCTCTCTCTATCTCTCACTGTCTATCTGAAATTTACGTATAGTTATCGCGTGTAATGCGTAAAATGTGCATCAAAGTCAGCCGCGGGGCTCTAAAAGGCATAGTATCGCCGATACAACGCAGCAGCTGCTGTCGGATCTGATCCGAGAGATATACATTCGCGAAATCGGCCGGGACATGGTCCTTTGGGAATTTTTCGGGAATACGCGAAATTTTATGATTTTTATGAAGGAAAAAAGCGCGCAATCGATGCATCAGATGAGAAATTACGTCCATAACGAAGATCGCGCGTCTGCGATCGAAAACTCACCGAAAAAAAGCTCGCGTAAGCAATTCGAGTAAATTTTCAATTCTACGAATTTCAATATTTTATTATCGGCAAAAGAAAACGGCAGGTAATCTCGCGCCCCTCTCCCCCCTCGCTTGCTCGGCGCTCCGTGAATGTTTTATTATGCGTATTAGAACGTCGCAGATTTCTCGGCGCGTCGCGATATCGTTTTTACAGATTACAAAGCTCCGAGGAAAGCCCCGGATCACTGACCCTTGCCTCGATATCCTTGGCCTGAAATGGACGTACGGAGAAATTTATAGCGCACACCAAATGATTTAGTTGGACCAAAAAACTGCAAAATATCTCTCTAATGGTCCTCGGCTCTCGGTTTCCTCAAATTGAATCGCCGTGCGTGTATCGAGCGAATATATTTCGAAAAAAACGACGACGACGACGACACGCAGCTAGCAGTGACTCGTTGCCAATTTCGGGACGTACAGTACACATCAAATAGCGCTCGCTCGCTAGGTAGGAGAGCTTTTTCTCATCAAGTCGACTGTGATGAAAATTGACGCGCTAGCTCTCTCACCCCCGCTTCGGATGGCAATATCGCTCTTTCAATGTCGCATCATTTCCTTCGCTCGGTTTAGTTAATTAGCGCCCGATCGTCAAATACCCCAGCTCTTTGCTGCTTTTTGCCGGTGTAAAGTTTTACGCGTCTTTTGCGCCCCCGATATTAAACGCGGTGTACGCAATTTTGTTTCTCGCGAAATGCTCTTCGGGCGAATCGTCATAATTTTTTACGCACCATTGCGCGTAATGTCCGAACGTCGTAAAAATTGTAACGCTCGCGCGCGCGATACCAGCGTGTATAGTCATGTTATTTGTCACTCGGTCTCTCTCGCTTCGCACGTGTTTGCATTTTAGTCGCTGCAGCGTATGTACGCACGAAATATTTCGGGCAGAATGACGCGCGTCGAAAAAATCTGTTTCGCGCCAAAAGGTCGGTTATTTTCATAAAGGTGTGTTTCATATGTTCCGATGGGCACTATTACATGGGCAGCTCTCCCTCCTTCTCTCGCGTTGACTCGTAATTCGTCTCGTTGCGAGTGCACGTGTATATGTATGCAATAATGTATAAAATTTTGACGGTTTCACAAGAGTGTCGGACGCGTATGGATGTGTATCAATAAATCGAAGCCGGAATACATTAAAATTCGTGCTTTAGAGCTATACGCGGCCCGACCATTTTAAACAAATTTTATTTATTGGAAATCAATATACATCACTTTGACTTGTCTATTGCGTTGAAACGGAAATTTAACGTCAAGCTGTTCCTACTTTTCATTTTTTTTTTATCATCGTTTTTCTTTCCACGTCCTGTATTCTCCTGAAACTATTGAATTTGCCTCGTTTTATATTAAAGCCTTCACATCTATAGTAGAAGGCAAAACGAAGTATTACAATCCGAAGAGCGATCAACGAACTCTTAGACAAATTCACGAAGCTTAAAGCGCCCCTCGTCTCTGAATCGAGATGAAAAAAAGATATATATTTATTCGCCATCGACGGTAATGTAGCGTCTTCAATTTTTGCGCTATACTCCGGCTGATATTCAGTTACAGGATATAAAAACTTTATTGCGTTTAAGCTTAACACTCGTGCGACAACATGAGCATCGTATTAATCGAAAATTCGCGCCGCATTTTACGCGTGTGTCAAATTAAAATCAACGCATACATAATGGAGGTTAAAAATAAATATAAATTTTCACATTAACCGGATATAATTCACGATATCGCGGTCTTGCCTCGGATTGGATATCATTTTCGCATCGATAACTAATTATATGCTTTTGCACGCAGGCCGAGTGCCACCCGAGGACCGCCGCAACAAAATGAAAAGCCGTAAATTCAAACATCACCGATGCCCAGTTAAAGATTAATTATTCCTTCTCGAAAATTATACATTTCACGTGTTGTGCGTGCGAGTTTATCAATGGGCTTGAATAAATATTGCCCTCGACTCCGCCGAGTGCCACAAATCACACAATTTACGAGGTTTTGCTCGTACGCGACGCAATGAAAAATTGCTTTTTCCGAGACTTTGGATTATCATAATTTGAAATCCAAACTCTTTTTAAAAATTAATAAGCAACAGGCTGAAAACCGCACTTGAAGTCGAAACTTTGTCCTTTCTTTTGATTTGGATTTTTTAGCTGTTACTGAAATTTAATACTTTAAAATTGAGTATATTATTTTGATTGGATTTAAATTTTTTGTAAAACTTTTTCAGACATTGAATGAATATTTATAATTAATTACACGAATTCCAAAATGTGAATTATTTCTATATTTGAAAGTAGATTACAAGTAGAAGATATTATCTCGCACCGACACAAGAATTTGATACGATTTTGAAATTGACCACTCATTGACTTTATTTATTTATTTACAAATTTTCTTTTCATGTCAACATTCGTATTCCACGGCTCACCCGATAAAGTCTGACAAATTATTGGTTGCTATTGTGAATCATACAAATTGTAAGACGGCATAGTGTTATAAAGTGTTATAAAGTGTAAATGCTACAAAATTTTGTAGTTTTTTTTTTGAGAAATAAGTTTAACAGTGTCATTTTTGTGTGCTTTTATTTTATTCTCACGACGCTTTAATGGATCACTACCAGCAAACTTATTCATTTTGTATGTACTGCTTAGAAATGTTTCCATCTGATGCTATCGAGCATCATATGCACAACGACTGCGCGGGGTACAGGTTGGCAATGGAAACAAACATACTGCCCGTTTGGATTCCTTCCCAGGTCAATAACATTGAAAATCCGACACCACATGGTGTAAGTTTAGGTACTGAATCGAATTTTGAAGAAGGACAAAATGAAAATGTTAGTTACATACAAAACATTATCATGGACAGCCATCAGCCATCGAATGACGATGTGTCAAGCACTGAACCAACTAGTGAAGAACCACAAAATGAAAACGACACTTATCCACAAGAAAATATCATGGACTGCGATCAGCCATCGAATGACGATGTTTCAAGCACTGAACAGAATTATGAAGAGCCACAAAATGAAAATGACACTTATTCACAAGAAAATATCATAGAGTGTTATCAACCATCGTGCATTGGAGGTTTAAGTCCTGGACCGAATAGAGAAGAACCACAAAATGAAAACGTCACTTATCCGCAAAAAAATATGGACTTCCATCAGCCATCGAATGACGATGTTTCAAGCACTGAACCGAATAGTGAAGAACCACAAAATGAACATGAAGCATATCCGCAAGACAATATTACGAACTTCCATCAGATACCACATGGCGTAAGTTTCATTACTGGATCGAATTTTGATGAACCACAATATCAAAATGTTATTTACCTACAAAACATTATAATGGACTGCTATCAGCCATCATACAGTAGAGGGTTGAGCACTGAACCGACTAGTGAAGAACCGCAAAATCAAAACGACACTTATCAACAAGAAAATATCATGGACTGCCATCAGCCACCCAATGACGATGTTTCGAGCACTGTAACGAATAGTGAAGAACCAGAAAATGAAATCGTCACTTACCCACATGTAAATATCATGGACTGCGATCAGCCATCGAATGACGATGTTTCAAGCACTGAACCGAATTATGAAGAACCACAAAATGAAAATGACACTTATTCACAAGAAAATATCTTCGACTGCAATCAACCATCGTGCAGTGGAGGTTTAAGCCCTGAATCGAATAGTGAAGAACCACAAAATGAAATCGAAACATATTCGCAAGACAATATTACGAACTTCCATCAGACGCCACATAGCGTAAGATTAATTACTGGATCAAATTTTGAAGAACCACAAAATGAAATCGAAACATATCCGCAAGACAATATTACGAACTTCCATCAGACGCCACATAGCGTAAGATTAATTACTGGATCAAATTTTGAAGAACCACAAAATGAAAAAATTTTTTTCATACAAAACCTTATCATGGACTGCTATCAGCCATCGTACAGTGAAGGTTTAAGCACTGAACCAACAAGTGAAGAACCACAAAATGAAAATGAAAACGTCACTTATCCACAAGAAAATATCATGGACTGCCTTCAACCATCGAATGACGATGTTTCAAGTACTGAACCGATTTATGAAGAACCACAAAATGAAAATGACACTTATTCACAAGAAAATATCATAGACTGTCATCAACCATCATGCAGTGGAGGATTAAGCACTGAACCGACTAGTGAAGAACCACAAAATAAAAACGAAATTTATCCGCAAGACGATATTACGAACTTTTATCGGACATCGATTGACGACGTTTCAAGCACCGAATCGAATAGTGAAGATTCACAAGATGAAAATGATCTTTACATACAAAACATTATCATGGACTGCTATCAGCCATCGTACTGTGGAGGTTTAAGCACTGAACCAACTAGTGAAGAACCACAAAATGAAAACGATACTTATCCACAAGACAATATCGTCGACTTCAATCAGCCATCGTGCAGTGGTGGTTTAAGCACTGAACCGACTAGTGAAGAACCACAAGAGGAAATGGACGGCAATTACGTTTGCAACGATTGCAGTAATAGATACGGTAAAAAATGCTGTCTGATCTGGCACATCCAAACATCTCATCTGGCTCATTATCTGAGGCTTTTTAGTTGTGACGAACACCAGTTGTTATTCATCAATGAAAGATCTTTGAGGAAACACGCGAAAACAGATCACAGGAAAAGAAAAAACAACATGGACAAAAATCCGCCCGCACAAACGAGTCGTATGGTTCCCAAAGGTTTTCCATGCAATATGTGCGAAAGTAGGTTTAATGATAAAAAAGGATTGAGGGATCACGTCTATTATGTTCATAATTCAATAAAGTATACTTGTGCATTGTGTTGGAAGAAATGTAAAAAAAGTTCTGCTTTAAATCTTCATCTTAAAGAAGTTCATTCAAAAGAAAAATTTTTCATATGCGAAGTAGAAAATTGCTGGCAAACTTTCTCGACAGAATATCGATTGAAGCGCCATTTTATACTAGTTCATGCACCAAAAAACCACGAGTGCAATGAATGCAAAGCAGCGTTCCGGACAAGCTTTAAATTAGCCAAACATCGTGAAGCAGTTCACAGAGAACAAGACCACGTGTGTGACGTATGCGGAAAAAAGTTCACGACAGATCGTCGAATGAAACAACATCGCAGTAGATGTCACGTACACGAATGCAGCGTGTGCGGAAACGTCTTCACGGAGATTGGCTCTTGGAGGCTTCATCAGCTGACTCACGCACGGCAATAAGACCGAATCGCGACAATTGCATGAAAACGTTCTATTTCAAGGAGAGCTTGGCGTATCATTGTAAAAAATTCCACTCGCGATCGTTCAAATGCGACAATTGTGATGAAAAATTTTGGCAGCATGGACTTATCATCTCACATGAAAGAGTTTCACAAAAGATAAAAAAATATAGCATCGATGTCACAAACAATAAAAAAATCAGGGTTCAGAATGTATCGAAAGTCAGTTCACAAATGACGCAAACACTTAAATACGTGTGATAAGCATAGTTAAGGGGGAGGGGAGGGGGGCATCTTGCATTTGTAAAGCAACTTGATGAAAATCATCGTTCATTAAGTGCTGGACCTGTCTGATGTGTCTGAAAAGCATGAATGTATATGTCGTCTGTCAAAATGAAATAAAAAAAATTGTTACATATAATATCAATCAGTAGGTTATCGTATAAATTATGTATGTATTATCGCAACAATAAATCTGTATGCTTCTAATTTTAATTGTATTATTTCTCCAAAATCGGGCTAATTTTTTTTAGACGACCAATTTTATCGTTGAATATAAACGGAATAACATGATGTAGTACAGTAAAATGTCATCGTCTACTGTAATTATATCGACTTGTTGAAAATTTTTCAAATTCGATCATTAGATCCCGATTTTATCAATAAAACAGCAGCGGCAGCATCGAAAAACGCAACTCACACACCATTCAAGCTTAAACTTTTATAATCAACCTAAGCATCTCGTTGACGTATATTTTTAACGCTCCTCGTCTCCCTTGCTCCGCAGGACTTCGTGACGGGCCTGTCGATCCTGTCGAGGGGCTCGCTCGAGGAGAAGCTGCGCTGGACCTTCTCGCTGTACGACATCAACGGCGACGGCTGCATAACGCGCGAGGAGATGACCGACATCGTCACCGCCGTCTACGAGCTCATGGGCAAGTTCGCCGATCCGAATCTCAACCAGAATCACGAGGGCGTCAGGCAGAGGGTCGATCGAATGTTTCAGGTTTGTCGATTGCGAATAAACATTTCTTTTATTTTATTTATTTATTTTTTTTTCAACCTCATATTTGTGTACCTATATGTGTTTTGCAACGAAAATATGTATAAACGTACGCGGTAAAAGCTCGAATTTCTGTGTACCATGGGTACACACAAAACCGTAAATACACTCGTATCTTCTTGACGTATATAAATTTATACTCGTACAGCATATAAGCGAACAAACGAGCGAAGAAGGAGTGCAAAAACATTACGCTTCGTGTAACTAGCAAGATACACACGAGCACCGGTATATATGTGTGTGTATACACGTCTGCGGGAAAAGGAGCTAACTTAACTAATTAGTACAGCGACGCGCGCCCGTGTAGTTGCAATATACTTTTACTCCTCCTCCTGATACTCTTCTTTTTTTTCTCTCTCTCTTTTTTGCTTTTTTCCAGCAAAGTATGTTTTTCGGCGAGCTTTATATGTTATATATAATATACACGTGAACGTCAAGCTCGCATAGTGACGAGACCATCGAAGACATATTCTCGCACAAAGTTGGAAGATTGACGTGTACGCCCCAGTGGCAAACACCCAAACACACACACACGTATACGCGAACAGACAAGTATTAGGCAACTTATACGCTGCCACTTTTCAAATCTTTTTACGTGCCACGTATACGCTACTGCACTACTTTATACATTTTTTCGGGCACACGAGAGAAGAGTATAGAGCGTTTCGTTTGTGCATAACTGAAATTCGGAGGAATTTACTCGCTCACCCCGCGCGTTCGCTACTGCAGCTCTGCGCGCCTCTCTGAGGAAAAGTCTTTCGCGTCATGTATATGCGCCGAGATCGCGTTTCATTTATTCTTCGTTTCTCTCTTATTTTTTTTTAAAAAAAGCTTCTTTTGCCCCCCTTTTTAAATACCGACGAGCAGCTCGTAATGTACGAAAATTTCGCGGGGTTAATTTGGGATTCGTATACCGAGAGAGGACGACGACCGCACACAATTTTCCATTCACTCGAAAATTCATGAGTAGAGTCGAGAGAGTGAAAAAAGTAAAAAAAAAAAATTTTTCCGGTCTCGCGCGTGTCCGTACAAGATGTTGGAAGCTTGATGTGCGGCTGCTCGATTCTGAATGAATATTCAAAGGAAATTGATATGCTCGATTATTCTCGTGTCTCGCTTTCTCTCTCTCTCTCTCTCTCTCTCTCTCTCTCTCTCTCTCTCTCTATTTCTGGACCCGACAGGTCAATATACCTCGCTCCATATATAACCAGATCTTTACTTGTAGTAGCCAGAGTTGTAATAAATTAGATGCGATTGAGCGTAACGTATCAATCGATATGTATAAAAGTAGTAAACGGATCGGGCAGAGAAAAAAACAATTTTTTTTTTAATTAACTACGAACGCAAATTGATCGACGAAAACGTCTTCGCAAATCTGCGGAGAAACTAATAGTTTTTTGAACGCTCGGTGAAAAACGTTTCTATTCTCTCTAGGTTTTTTTCTATCTCCGTTTAGCTCTCGATTCATTTTCTTTGTAATGCTTTATATTGCGCTTGGACGCGCGTTGAAGATGAAAAAAAAATAAAAGAAGAAAAAGAACGAGACCCTGAAAAAGAGCCCTGACAAGCTACATGGCGAGCAGTCCTCGTAATTAAATAAAATTTTATCATTCCATGCGTTTTCTTTCGGATGTTATAAAATAAAAGGAGAGAGAGAGTGAAAGAGGGAAGAGAAAAAGAGAGGAAAGTAAGGTAGCGAAAGAAAGAATTTCAATTAAATCCGTTCTGGCAAAAGACCCAAATGAACTAACTTTTCGCTTGTCATTTCGATGTGTAAAAATATCCTCTTCCGCACTTGCTACCGGCCGTTACTCTTTCTCCCTTTATAGTTTCTTTTCTTTTTTCTTCAATCCTATAGCAATTAAAACCCGTATTTAGACGTCGCAGAAAATGAAGAGGAAAAACGACGGGGTTTTATAAGAGAAAGAATAGAGAGACAGACAGAGAGAAACATTGTAAATAATTTAAGCTCGTATCGAGCGGAAAAGGAGAAACGAAGAAAAAAAAATTTATACAGCTTTTAACCTTGTACACATAAGGGTGCGAGCGAAGGAGAGAGAAAGAAAGCGAGGGAGAGGCGGTGGCGCGAAAGAAAGAGATTTTTAAAAGTAACTCTTAACTACTTTATCCAAGTAAGAAACTCTCTCATTCTCTTTCTCGTCCCTCTTCTTCCTCCTTTTTTTCTTCCTCGGTGAAACCTTTAACGCCTTAAAATAGGATGAAAACGAGTTAGTGTGCTAATGGACCTGTGGCAGAGAAGTGCGAGCGTCTTCTCTTCCGCGAGTCGGCTCTCGCACCCCCCGTGTCGCGGCGCGCGCGCGCGAAAGTGCGAACAAAAAAAAAGAAAGGAACGAAGTTGTTTCTTGCCTCTTACCGAAATGGGGCGCGCGCGCGCGCGAGTTTCAATCGGAATCATCGATTCGACCGATTTAACTTCAATTCCTATACTGTATTTTTCTTTTATCTTTATGTCGATTGCGCCGCGAAACGTCGAAACGGGATAAACTCCCACGTTTTTCCTCGTAATTATACGGAAAGCAGAAGAAACTCGAGCTGAGAAACATTTTCACGAAACGAGTGTGTGCGTGCAGGAAAAGTCTTTTTATAGCTCCACCCACACACACATACACACCAATAACACTAGTAACACACGAACATCCATGTATGCAGGAAAGAGAGAAAGACAGAGACAGAGCAAGCAGTAACTCCCGGAGTAGCTCTTCTCCGCTGCAAGGCGCGCACCTACGCGAGCTTACACTCTTTTGTTTGTCTTACGAAGACGCCTGCGGGGGGCGAGCGAGGCACCAAGGCGTGTATGTATACTGTACCTCGTATAACAGAGAGCCAGAGCGAGGAGCTGCAGCGGAGCTCCGATGTAAAGCCGCGCGCGTACTCGCTGTAAACTCGCACGAAGAAGTTCATTTACGTGCAGTACACCGCGTGCGTGTATGTGCAGTCGAACTCTTCATTCGGAAAATTAATTTAGTTTCGTTATTGCGTGTACACGCTGAAGCGAGCACTGTAGTGTGCGTGTGTGTGCGCGACTCGAGCTGCTGCAATGTAAATTTAAACGGCGAGACAAATTGGGACATTTGTGTAGCCGTGTGCGTGTGACGCATGCGACGACACCGATGAATTTCTTTTTTGGGCTTTTTAACGATGCGATACGTACTTGCGAAGTATCGAGCCCCAATGTAGCTAATGAGAAAAATTTCTATTTTTGAGTACAGACGCGTGCGACTCGTACTGCTTTAATTAAGCGCCGTGTGCATGCGTATTCCTTTTTGTACTGCGGTATAGATGACGAGTGTGCATTCGAAGGTCGTAACTCGACCTGTTTGGCAAAATTGTCAAAACTTTATTGTAAATTAACAAAAATAAGCTAAGATAAGCAGAGCGTTTACTGGTTAAGAGATTTTTTTGAATGAATGTTTTATATTTAAATCGTAAGTATGCGAAAACAAATCGCGCGCCTGGATGAATGACAACACGCTCGAATCAATACAAATTTCGCAATGTCTAACTGCGTACGGCCAGTCGATGTTGGAGGGGGAATTTATCGCAAAGGAGCTATCATAATCACGCGATCATCTCACTTAAATACGAGCAGTGCGTTTAGTCGCTAACGAAGAGTTGAATCCCTGTATGGTGAGCAAGTGTTTACAAATTTGTATACAGTGTTGGCTACTCGAGACATTTAACCTCGAATATTTTTTCGGTGTATTTCATGCAAAATTCGCAGTCGCACCGAGCGAATGATGAGCAACAAGGAGGAGACGGTTAGGTAAATCTAATTTTTACACACGCCATGAGTTTCTTTTAAAGCAATAGCTTTATCAATTTTTATCATTCCTTAGAGTGAAGGAAGAGCCGAAAGATACTTGGTCAGTGACTGACGACGATCATGTTTTTGATTCAGAGGTTTCTGGCGAAGTCAAATACTTTGAAGCATTCCCATTTAATGTATCACCAGTAAGTGATTTGAATTATATTCTGATTTTTCAATATCAAATGCTATTGCACAATTATTACTTCAGGCAAATCACATGAATGAGGATATGTCACTAGAGGAAAAATTGGATGAAGAAATATTCATAGATTGTGAGTGCAAAGACGTAAAACTAGAACCAAAGCCTCTATCGACAATCATTTCCAAAACTGAACATCAGAGTTACCTACCTATTATAAAAACAGAAAACCAAATTCAGAAAAATTACTGGAATGAAAAAAGACTTACAGTTTTAATAAAGAAAGAATTCGATTACGAAAATAGGCGGCCATTTCAAGAAAAGCCCCGATTGAAAGTTGATAGATCAAAGGAAATGAAAATATTCGTAAAAAATGCTGAAACTAAATTACCTAATGAAAATAAAAAGTGCATAAAAACTTATAAAGGCAAAGTAATTCCAAAAAGACAAATCAATGTAGCATACAAGAGCATTACATGCGAGATTTTTCACAAATCATTTAGCCGTAAGCATCATCGAAAAAATCAGATATATGCAGTACAAACTCTTAGCGCATTATTCCAATGTGATATTTGTCACAAATCGTTTGGACGAAAAAGTCACCTCAAGCGGCACGTAAGTGTGGTACATAATCAGAGCAAACCCTTCGAGTGTGATATTTGTCACAAATCATTTGGACAAAAAAGTTACATAAATAGGCACATAAGTACAGTACATAATCAGAGCAAACCCTTCGAGTGTGAGATTTGTCACAAATCATTTGGAGAAAAGGGTAACTTCAATACACACATAAGTACAGTACATAAACAGAGCAAACCCTTGGATTGTGAGATTTGTCACAAATCATTTGGATACCAGCATAATCTTAAAAGGCACCAGCTGACGGTACATAATCGTAGCAAACTCTTTGAATGTGAGATTTGTCACAAATCATTTGGACAAAAAGCCAACCTCACTAAACACATAAATACAGTACACGATAAGAGAAAACGTTTTAAATGTTAGATTTGTTACAAATCATTTTCAACCAGAAAGTAAATCAATCAACACATAAGTGCAGCACATGATCGTAACAAACTTTCGAATGTGAAATTTGTCACAAATCATTTTCACAAAAAGGCAACCTCAACACGTAAGTGCAGTACACGATAAAAACAAACCATAGGATTGCATGATTAATGTGGAGACATTTTGAAGCTATGAAAACTTCTGCAATCAAACGTGTACATTATGTAATTTTAGACAACTTTTTACACGAATATTTTTCGTTTTTTGTAAAATAATAAAGTATTTTTAAGTGTCATTTCATTTTATCGTAATGAAAAATCTTCTCCTCGCCTTTATACACGAATTCAAATATTAGTAAGGTTTTGTCTTTAATTTATTATTGTAATTATCGCTCTTAAACGAATATTTCAACTTCAGATTTATTAGTTGAAGCTTGTCCCATTAAATGCATGCTTCATATTGGTATACCAGTCCAATTTTTCGCCTAAAAACGAAAATTTACATCACCAATCTCCACAATTTATTTCCATAATCGCTGAAAATATAATAACGTCAATGGATTAATATGAAACGGGTTAAAAGATATCGACTTGTAGACATTATGATTGATTTATAAGAATAAAGAAACGAATGCAAAAAAAGCATAAATATAAAAACTTGAGCTTGGTAGAGAAACAATGATAACTTCGTCATACTGTTACGGTCATCAGCTTTGCAAACTCGTTTCATTGAGTGTTACAATCGAAATGAATAAAAAATTAAAATAATCAAATTTTTAAAAAATTTTATGTTTATTTTATTGACGAAAAATCATAAACTAACAATCTTGTAGCTGTTTTCTTTCTGCTGCTGACTTTTTTTTAAAAATAAATGAAGTATAATACACTTTAAGATGAGCCACTCGCTTTCGAGTTGTAGTCAAGATGTATCATCTAAGTTTACAGATTGATTGAATATAATATAATACTGAGATACATTTCTATCTCGAGTCAGTCAACATCGTTGGATACAAATCAAAAATTAATAAATAGAATATTAGCACGTCGAAGTGTGTACGGGCCCTTCACGAACTGTCACGTCGAGTCTCTTAGCTTTGTATAAACATTACACCTTGTTCCTTTTGTCTTCGTTATCTGTTTCTCAACGAATCGTCGACTCGCGTTCGGTTCCGCAGGTTTCGTTTGTCATTTGTCAAACTAATATTTTTTTTTACCATACCGCCGACAATGACTGCAATCATGTTGCCGCAAAATTGAATATTTATGAAACACTCTGTTGCATCCGGTGCACTCGTAATATTTTCCCGACTTGTAATCCTCGCTACATTCGTGTGTTTGCCATTGGTACATCGACAAGAAGCCTTTCCCGCACATTGGGCAAAGGAACGGGTCTGGCATGTGGGTTGCATTAAAATGTGCAGCCAAGCCATACTTGGAACAGAACGTTGCTGTGCATTCTTTGCATGGATTTAACGTTTTCTGATGAAACTTCAAATTGGAACGACGCGTGAACGTTTGTCCGCATCGGTTGCACTCGAATCCTGTTCTACTTAATTTATTGCGCTTGTATATTCCTTGACTGTGATCTCTTGCATAATGTTCACCCAATCTCAACTTTGTTGGAACATTTCTTTGTTCTGCGGGAACATCCTCACTATGTTTCGACAAGTGACCACCTTTTTTAAGTTCTGTTAAACGATGATCAGCATTGTAGTGATACTTCAATCCTGGTTCGCTTCCATGCGACTTTGGGCACAAATTGCATTGAAAATCACTGGGAGAAGTCTCGTGGTGCGCTGTCGAACTACTCGGTTGTGCAGGCGGATTTGAGTCTACGTTGCTTTCATGTCTCCCGTAATCTGTCGAACGACCCGGTTGCTCTAGATGATTTGGTCCAGCACCGGAGGATAATTGAGCCATTACCAAACGGTACATCAAGCAGTTGTTGTGCAGATGCTGCTGGAGAGCATCACCATTCGGAAATACTCTCTTACAGTATGAGCAAAATGGATACTCCTGGGTGTAGTGAATATATAAAGCTGCGTCAGACTCAAAAAACCGTGCACAAAATTGACACTGACTCATTTTTTCTCAAAAAAAAAGAGACAAAATTTCGTAGTTTTCCCACTTTATAACGTTAAACCGTTGCTCGAATGGATCAATATAACCGATAATTTGACAGACTCGCTCGGGTAAGCACTGAAACACGAATATTGACATTAAGAGGATATTTATAAATAAATAATCGATAAATCGTTCAATTCAAATTCAAATTATGATCTGCCTTTAACATCGGATAATAATATCAACTTGAGTTATTATAAAAATTCCATAAGTCTCATCATTTACTCATGAAAATCAGTCAAACTTTTTACAAGATTTAAAAAATTTTTTTTTCATTTTTAATGACCTCAAACTGGAGTTGTTAATTTTCACTTTTTTGGGTTAATTTTTTTTTTTTTGTAATTTTTTTTTCATGAACAGCTGCTAATTGTTTTTAAAAAAAGACAAATAAATTAATTTAAAGTAAAAGTATAACGTCTGTGATTTTATCTTAATCAGATAATTATAAGACCAAATCGTTTTTTGATCTTCCTCAACATATATCTTTGATTCTAAGGTATTAGGACGGCTAAAATATTTCGAAAAACATCTTGATATTATTTGAGAGAAGCATGGCTCTATACGAGCGTTTATAAAGGATACAAACTGGACCAAAGCAACGTCCTGACGGGCACGAAATTATTCGCTGAGCAAAAACATGTTTAAAAACTAGATAGATGTTGAAAATTGTTGTTATGACGACAAGAAGATTATGTAAAAAGTTAAAGGTATGATGATGAGTTCAAGTCTTACAGAATAAGAATTGATCCGCGATAGCGATCCGATAAGGCGACGAAACTACTCATTTATACGGACTGACGTAATTTTGTGAGTTCGGATGAATTTTGTTTTTTTTTCCAACAAATATAGCAAGGCTGGTTCTGTGCATCTATTCGAAAAAACTGTAGTAAGAAATTTTCTGGTACTGGGCGCGGGAGTTTTCTTGGATCTGACTTCCCTAACTATTACCAATTTTTCATCTTGTACCAATTTTCTATGGTGTTTGGTTTGTCAGCAACAAACCAAAGTTTTCGATTACTTGTCCATTTTCATAACCAATATTTTAGATCACGAATAAATTTTGAAATAGTACATAATTAATGAAATTCAGAATAATCATTAGTATAATTAACTGAGCTTCGATACAAATATCGGCGATAATTTCATTTTATTAGAAATGCTTCAATAGTTCTACTGTCTCTCTATATGTTCAACAATAAGTGCTACAAATGAGATAACTACAAAAAATTGAATTAATTGATTCTTTTCGTTTTCATTCTCATTTTAATTTTATTTACAATTAATCGCAGAAAAGTTTCAAATATATTGAAACTGCTCCAATACAGCTGCTGATTGTTTTAAAAATAATTGAAATTTGATATAAAGTAATATGAGCTACTCGATTTCGAATTGTAGTCACGAGGCATCACTCAGGTATGCAGAATTTACGAGACAATCTCCTGTCTGTCGAACAAACGAGCCGTGTACGTATTCTCGAACCATCTGATTGTACATAGTCGTAGCAAACCCTTTGAATGTGAGATTTGTGAGAAGTTGTTTGGACTAGAACATCATCTTGGATCTCACATAAATACAGTACATAATCGGAGCAACCCCTTCAAATGTGACATTTGCCCCATATCATTTGGATACAAGCATCATCTTAAAAGGCACAATCTGACGGTACATAATCGTAGCAAACCCTTTGAATGTGAGATTGGTCACAAATCATTTGGACAAAAAGCCAACCTCACTAAACACATAAATACAGTACACGATAAGAGAAAACGTTTTAAATGTTANATGTGCCCACACAATCCGCAAATATATTTTATTGGACCATGAACAAATTTGTGGTGTTCTTTCAATCGATCCCGGTCCTTCAACATCTTTCCGCATACATTGCATTGAAAACCTTCGTGAGGTGTATCGTCGTGGGCTGCTGAATTACTCGTTTGTGCAGGAGGATTTTTGTCCATGTTGTTTTTTCTTTTCCTGTGATCTGTTCTCATGTGCTCTCTCAAAGTTTTTCGATTGATGAATAACAACTGGTGTTCGTCGCAACTATATAGCCTCTGATAATGTGCCAGATGAGATGTTTGGATGTGCCAGATCAGACAGCATTTTTTACCGTATCTATTACTGCAATCGTTGCAAACGTAATTGGGGTCCATTTCCTCTTGTGGTTCTTCACTAGTCAGTTCAGAGCTTAAACCACCACTGCACGATGGCTGATGGAAGTCCATGATATTTTCTTGTTGATAAGAGACGTTTTCATTTTGTGATTCTTCACTAGTCGGTTCAGTGCTTGAAACATCATCATTCGATGGCTGATCGCAGTCCATGATATTTTCTTGTGGATAAGTGTCGTTTTCATTTTGTGGTTCTTCATTAGTTGGTTCGGTGCTTGAAACATCGTCATTCGATGGCTGATTGCTGTCCACGATAACGTTTTGTATGTAACTAACATTTTCATTTTGTCCTTCTTCAAAATTCGATCCAGTACCTAAACTTACACCATGTGGTGTCTGATTGTCAATGTTATTGACCTGGGAAGGAATCCAAGGGGGTGGTATGTTTGTTTCCATTGCCAACCTGTACCCCGCGCAGTCGTTGTGCATATGATGCTCGAGAGCATCAGATGGAAACATTTCTAAGCAGTACATACAAAATGAATAAGTTTGCAGGTAGTGATCGATTAAAGCGTCGTAAGAATAAAATAAACGTACACAAAAATGACACGAATAAATTTTTTTTTTTCAAAAAAAAAAACAAAGTTTTGTAGCGTTTACACTTTATAACACTACCGTTTCACAATTTGTATGAGTTAATGATAATCAATAATTTGTCAGAGTTTCTTGGGTAAGCCGTGGAATACGAATGTTGACATCAAAAGAAAATTTATAAATAAATAAAGTCAATAAATGACCACCTTTTTTAAGTTCTGTTAAACGATGATCAGCATTGCAGTGATACTTCAATCCTGGTTCGCTTTCATGCGACTTTGGGCACAAATTGCATTGAAAATCACTGGGAGAAGTCTCGTGGTGCGCTGTCGAACTACTCGGTTGTGCAGGCGGATTTGGGGCTACGTTGCTCTCATGTCTCCCGTAATCTGTCGAACGACCCGGTTGCTCCCAAGGATTTGGTCCAGCACCGGAGGATAATTGAGCAATTGCCAAACGGTACATCAAGCAGTTGTTGTCCAGATGCTGCTGGAGAGCATCACCATTCGGAAATACCCTCTTACAGTATGAGCAAAATGGATACTCCTGGGTGTAGTGAATATATAAAGCTGCGTCAGACTCAAAAAACCGTGCACAAAATTGACACTGACTCATTTTTTCTCAAAAAAAAAAGAGACAAAATTTCGTAGTTTTCCCACTTTATAACGTTAAATCGTTGCTCGAATGGATCAATATAACCGATAATTTGACAGACTCCCTCAGGTAAGCACTGAAACA